GATGGTTGAAGTTTACCCCAGCAACTTTTTTTTTTTTTTCACAAACCTCTTATTTCCCTCCTGGAATTGAAATACCCATACATTGATGCATAAGATTGTTCACTGAGTTTTCTCTCCAGACTTCAGAAATAATGGATCTACTGTGTGACTTGACCATAAGAAACTTGAATTTTATGTAACAAGCTTGATTTTAATTCAACAGTTTGGATTGCATGATTAGTACTTGGAGATCCTGTTTTCTATTCTCTTCTAGAGATAGGATCAGCTCTGGGAGAATCCGGTTCTTAGGGGGGTTTTTTGAGAGATGGAGAGAGACTTTAGCAAAACTATGTTTCTTTAATATTACTGTTGAAACAGACTTGTATAGTACAAATGCATATGTACAGAGTTCTCTGTCCTGACAGGTTATTGAGATCTTTCTGCCTATTGTGTTAAACTGCTGGAGTGGGATTTGAGATGGCATGTGGTAATGTCTTAATGTGAAACATTTAAAAAAAGAGGCCTGGAAAAGTGGAGCTGCTTCTCTCTGCTCCAGAAACGGACCATGTGGAAATACTGTGTGCAGAACCCAGGGAGTCGCTTCCTGACTCTTCTAGTGAGCCTCCCCTTATCACACTACTTCTAAAATTTGATCCCAAGGTTCAGTTTCTGAAACCTCCATATCATTTCCTCCTCCCTCCCACTCCCCCCCCACCCCCAAAAAAAAAAATTTAAAAAAAAATTCTAGGTTTTGGGGTGTGTTTTGTTTGAGATTTCTATAGGAAAATGTGCATACTTGTTCAAAACTGTTTCTCCCTACTTCTGGGAAGCTTGACACTTATTTCAGAGTGGCAGTATGCACTGTGTGTCATGATTGAACAGAAACTTAGATTTTCAAATACTCATGCATTTGTCATCAGTGTCAAAAGTTTGCTGATATCAACTAAGCAAGTTGTATAGGAAGGTTCTTTAAGTCTTAAAAGTTTTTGAATGTTATTTGACCTGTCTCTGTAGAAGTGAGACCACTTCCATAACAAATGGATCGATACCTCACTGTTCCTGCAGAAGTGTCTTAAGTGCTATTGTCATCTGCTTGCAGCTCTGACAAAGCAATTATTACTGTAAGAGTGGTGGGTTTTATATATGCTGAGTGTTAGGCACCCTCAGGTCATCCTTGCTTTTAAGGAAAGCAGCAAATGTCACTTATTACAGCAGCAGTAACTAGTACCACTCTGGTTAAGGGGCTGTTAATAATTCCATTATAATGCTGCCTTTTTTCTAGGACATAAAGCTTGTTATCAAAATTGTCTTCTAAAACTGTGTGAGGGCAGATTTTGTGTCTCCTGCTGCTACAGCCAGAACCGCTAACACTATATTTCCTCAGCTTCAGCCAGACCAAGTGTGTACTGTAGTGGAGGTCCACCCTGGTTGCATTTGATGAAATCATGAAAAGTGCAAAGCCAACAGTAGAAATTTTGAAGCTTTAAGTAAAATTGCATTCTGGACCCCCAGTTAAATCATTGCATATGATGAGCCCCCTAACCATTTGCTGTCTTTTCTGTCAGACTCAGAATAGCATCCTTGAGTTTCAAAACAAATCCCTCCCTTTCCTCTGTGATACTGAGAGGATGTAGGGCTGAGGCTCATTCACCAATACTGGCAAGACAACAGATGACCTACTTCTCTTCTGAACTTCTGGATAAAGAAACCCAAAAAAGGAGAGCCATATAGGCTGGATACAAGTTGAAAGCGCTAGGAAGGAGCAGCTTACTGGAAAGTTGAAAGAGAAGCATCCAGAGAAATGGCATCTTCCCAGCTTGGGAGCAAGGCTCAAATAGGGTCTTGGTGACCTTGTGCCCATGCAGGGTCCTACTGGCCAAAAACTGATTTCTCCATAGATACCCCTGACTGAACTCAGCCCCTGCTCTAAGCCAGCTAGTTCAGTTTCACATCCCAAGACTTTTTGCACTACCTTTTGCAAGATACTGGGGGTTTCTAGTTTTTGAATGTCTAGGTCAGGTGTGACCAACCTGCCAAGTGGCACAGGTAGGTCTTGTGTGTGCACAGAAGATGAGGAAGATGGCAGACAGCACAGCAGCAGATAAGGAAGAAGCAGAAAGCAGAACAGTGCATCAGGCAGGGAGTACAGGGTAGGAAGCAGAAAGAACAGCAGCGGATTGGGTAGAAAGGGAACTTAGTGGCACTCAGGGAGGATACGGAGCTAATTTGTGGCACGCCTGCCAAATATGTTGGCACCCACTGATCTAGATTTTGGTCCTTCTCCAATGACAGAGGAGAAAAAAGTTGTGGTTTGTTGGCTATATGGAAATGTCTAGGTAACCCCTGATATAGGCAACCCCAAAGGTTTGTCAGGGCAAATAGTTTAAGAATAATTGTGGCCTTGTTAATCTCAGTTACCATTGGGATGCCTTGGATAGGAGGGGTTAGAAGAGCATAATTGTTACTAGGGCTGTGCAAAGCTTCGGTAGCCTATTCGATTTGGAGGAGATTCGGCCTGATTTCAGCAGCTGAATCTTTGAATCCAAATCAAATCAGGAGACCAATTAAAAGGTTGGAATTGAACTGGAAGCCTCCGAATCGATTCAGTCCAATTTGGAGATTTGGACGTAGACTAAACAGTCAGCAGTCCTTGAGGACGCTGGACACGGCTGCCTCCAACTGTTAAGTCTGTTGTGGTGGGCAGAGGGGGGATGGAAGGGGTGTGGGGGTGGAGGGCAGATCAACACCCCGACAGTGAGGGAGGGATTGGGACTGGGGCTAAGACAAGCTGCCCAGCTCGGGAGGGAGGCTCCTGCCACTGTGCCACTGCACACCACTGATCCAGGAGGGCATGGGAGTGGGCATGTGTCCTTGGATCTGTGCAGGGCAGGCTGGGCTAGGGTGAGCTCCAGGAGGTTGGCTCCAGCTGCCCACAGTCAGCCTGTGGTTCACGGGGTGGGTGGACCTAGGGCTGCACTCCAGGTGGCTAGCCCCAGCCCAGAGCGCAGCCCTGGTTATGCCTGCCCCACACAGCACAGTGGAGCGGGGTTTATGGGGGGTCTGCAGCCAGTCTCTAAAATTCCCCATAGCTCCTGCTGCTGGGCCAGGCCTAATCTGGGTGCATGCGCCCACCCCCATGCCCTGCTGCCGCTTGTCCAGCCAGGATGAAGCTGCAGCTTGTCTGGGAGGCACAGGGAGGCTGAGCGAGCAGTGGGAGGGCATAGCCCCGACTCCCAGTGCCTTCTGCCACTTCTCCAGAGCGCAGCCTGGCCCAGCCCGCCCTGTGCGGATCTAGGGGCACACACCCAGGCCCATGCCCTCCCGGACCGGTGGCGCGCAGTGGTGGGAGAGTCCCTGCCCGAGTCCTGTGCCTAGGGCCATCCCTGGGGGGGGTGCAAATCGGGGCAACTGCCCTGGGCCCCCTGCTTTGGGGGTCCCTGTAGTTCTGTACAGGCCCTGCCACAGCCAACATGTGCCATTGCTGCTGAGTGCCTCTGGCTCTGCCGCCGCTGTGCACTGCCAGCTCTGGCTGCTCGCCCTCCTGCTCTGCCAGCTCTGGCAGCTCCTCTGGCAGCTCACCCGCCCCTGACCCCAAACAGACTGATGGGCCCTGGACACCCCTAGGGACAGCTCTGCCTGTGCCCCCCCACCCCTGCCTAGGCAGCTTGTCCCAGCCCCAGTCCCTCCCTTGATGTGGGGGCATTGATCTGTACCTCCCCATGTCCCTTCCCTGCTCACTCCGCCCACCACAACAGGCTTACCAGCTGGAGGTAGCTGTGTCCATAGTCCTCAAGGACTGCTGCCTGTTTATTCTATGGCCGAATCTCCAAATCGGCGCTGAATCTTTAGATCCAAATCAGCCAAATAGAATCAGGACAGTGATTCGAATTGTTGAATCGAATCACTGTCCCTGCAAATTGGCCAAATCTGAATCAAATACTTGCCGCTTTGCACAGGCTTAATTGTTACACTAGCTTTCACCAGGAGCCTTGTGATAGAGGGGTTGCAAAGGAATCAAGGGGTAGCGTGCCACTTCCTTTGTTTTCCTTTCTGTTCTGCCCCATCATTACTCACTTCAACTGTAGGTCCACCTTGAGGCTTTGGTGAATGTGTAGTAGTTGCCATTCTAATCTTCATAGAATGGTTACCTTGTTTCATTACTTAAGTTATGTAATACCCTGGTGTCATTCTAATGAGGAAAAAGACCGATGTTGAAATAGCAGCCAATTTAATTTTTTTAAAAATTGGAATCAAAAAGCATGATGCCAGCATCAGCTCCATATTTGGCATATGTTCGTTGCATCTTTGCAGGTGAACGTCCTGTGGGAGGTGAAATCTATGCTCATAGGAGCATAGGTTTTAAGACCAAAAGCCTTACAGGACATAGACTCCGCAAGATCTAACAGGCCATAAAATGTATACAGTGATCACAGAATGTACTCGATACCAGGGCTCTCCAAATTTCGAAGCGGTTGAGGGCTGCAGACCTACAGGCTGCACCAGGGTGAACTGTGGGCCCCCAGGCCACATGCCACATGGAACTCCACCTCCTGTGGCACCACATGCCCATGTGAGCCTACCCCTTCTACCACTCCACTGCCTGCTAGTGTTGTTGCCCTCTGTCCTCCCCACTGCTGTGCAGTGTTGACCCTCTTCCCGCGCCACTGCAGCACAGGATACCTTTCCTCCATGCACCCCCTCCTCCCTCCATGCTGGGCTGTGTGCCCATGCAGCCTCCCTCCCCACTGGGGCAGGGGTAGGAAGAGAAGACTGGAAGACGGAGGGGGAGGATTTGAGGCTCTGGCTGCTGTTGCAGCCGGAGCAGTGTGGAGAGCAATGGCCAGGCAGGAGCCTGGGGGCCTCAACATAACCCCTCGCAGGCCCACAGGCCACCAGCTGGACAGCCCTGTTCTACACCATTTACAGCTATCGTGGAACATACTTCAGCAATGCAGGGCACCAACTTAAACTACCTAAATGCCTTCAGATTTATAAACACTCTGGCTTGGTTTTTGTTATAGGTGTGCCAATGTTATCTGTGCAACCCAAAGGGAAACAGAAGGGCTGTGCTGGCTGCAACCGAAAGATCAAGGACCGCTACCTTTTGAAGGCCCTGGATAAGTACTGGCATGAAGACTGTCTAAAGTGTGCCTGCTGTGACTGCCGTCTTGGAGAGGTTGGATCAACTCTTTACACGAAAGCAAATCTTATTCTTTGCCGCAGAGATTACCTGAGGTAAATATAGGCACGTGCTATGGTCTCTTTCTTTGATCTCTCAGTTGCTGCAAGATGTTTATCTTGCTACACTCTAGACTGTAAATAAATATACTCATTGGTTTAGTAGCTGAACCATCTCCTTTTTAAAGATGGGTTTTAATTTGCATTTCAAGTGTGTTTATTTTTTTGATGCAGCTGTTAAGTGCTTAGTTGGTAGAGAGGGGAGGATGTGCTTTGGTATTATGGTCCTACTATGGAATATAATGTTTATCACTTTAAAAAATACAGGGATAATCTTCAGCTAGCCCCACATGGTGCCATTGACTTTGGTACACATCAGCTGAGTGTCTGACCTGAAACTCTTGTTTTATTTTTGCCTCTTCAGTAGTATTTTTTTACAATGGACCTTCAGTGTTCATCTTCAGTGGGTTTTCCCCTCTGTGAAGTACTTGTCTGTTCAGTAACTAACCAAACAAAATTAAATTTCTTAAAGTATTTTTCTACAGAAAGAATTTACAATGACCAGCGGGGACTTTTATATTTGTGTAGAACAACACTCATCTGCATTTTATAAGAAATAAGATGGAGACTCTTTTTTTTTTTGCATGGTTACATGTATGGAAGCTCAGATTAGTTGTTTCCTATAACAAGTTTTAATACAACTTCCTTATTAAGGACTATGTTGTATGAGATTACTGTTGCTGGATTTTGTTGGTTTTTATTAGTTCTGGTTTTTCCTTGCCTTTTTTACTTTTCCATAGGACCTGTCCCCGTAACATTTCCTTCCCTAGCCTCAACCCCAAGTATGTTTTCAGCAAGAAATTATTACTTTTTAAGTGTTCTAATGACAGCTAACCTTGAAGTGGGCAGTGACTGGCCATAGTGACAGTAATTTAAATCCTTGAAGTACGTGGTATAGTTAAAAAGGATAAAGGGGGGAAAGAAATCCTGACATCAGAAGGAAACTTATAATAGTTAAAATTTACTAACTCATATTTTGCTAAATTCCTTCTTGAAAACTAAGAGGAAACAGTTATGCGTTTCTCTTTTATCATTTACTGTTGGAGGTCTTTGGAAGTGGATCCTTGCTTTCTGATTCTACTGACTGACTACAGAGCATCTTTCCTATAGTTACAGTTTGTTCTGCTGTTTGAATTTAAACTCTCAAGAGGACATGTGAAGTGTCTCTGCTGTCAAGAGAATCATAAAACTTCGACTGCTGCAGACGCAGGTATAATTATGTAGGGAAAGATGCATCCCTGAATTGTAGCTTGTGGAGGTGATATTTTATGAGTGGGGGCAGAGTCTAGTAGGATTTAATGGAGAGGAAAGAACTGTGTTTGGGAGCTGTGGAGGCACAGGAGAATAGAATGTGGACAGGGAAGAGAGAACTTGGGAATAAGAGGCTAGCAGCATCAGGAAAAGAGGTGGGTGAAGTGGGAATTGAGGATGCTTCCGGACAGCAGGCAAGACTGTTTTTGGTAAATCTGGACAATAAAGGGAGGGTGGCTTAGCTGACGTCTGCTGGGAACTGAAGATATGTACATGAGAATGACAATAAGTACTGAGGTGCTTTAAGGAAGCAGGAGGGAGGATAGGCTCTGTCCTGCCCCAATTTATTAGCTAAATTGTAAAACCAGGGGCATGGTTACATATGGGGAAAAACTGCCTTAAGACCTCAAGTTCAGTCTCTGATTGATTGTCCAGGTTCTTTAATTGATTATGAGATCAGAAGAAATTATCTTGGTGTTTTTCTTAAGCTTCTGCATAACAGGACTTTCCAGGTCATAGGACTTTCCAGGATTAAGTTCTGTTTGAAATAGATAATCTATTTTAAAAAAAATCTAGTCTTGACTTTTTAATTGCCATTGATGGAGAATTCACCACAACTTTTTGGTAAGTTGTTCCACTAGCCAGTTGTCTCCACAGTTTACAAAAAAACTGCTATATCTCTAATCTAAACATGCCTGGCTTCAGTTTCCAGGCAGTGAACCTTGTAGTATGTTTTTTCTACTCGATTTAAAAACCCTCCAGCATCACTGCTTGAATCTTTGCTACTATGCATGTTTTCAAAATATGTAATCTTTGTTATAACTCAGCTCTAACCCCTCCAATTTGAAAAGATTATTAAGGCTCACATATGTGAGAGCCCAGCAGGAAAAATTATGCTGAAGGGAAACCAGCACAGGTTTGTAGCAGGTAGATCATGCCTGACTAATCTAGTCTCTTTTTATGACCAGGTTACAAAGCAGCTGGATGCGGGAGTAGGGGTAGATATCGTTTACTTAGACTTCAGGAAGGCCTTCGATACGGTATCCCACCCCATACTGGTGAACAAATTAAGAGGCTGTGACTTGGATGACTACACAGTCCGGTGGGTGGCAGATTGGCTAAAGGGTCATACCCAGAGAGTGGTGGTGGACGGGTTGTTATCAACCTGGAAGGATGTGGGCAGTGGGGTCCCGCAGGGGTCGGTCCTTGGACCAATACTCTTCAATGTCTTCATCAGTGACTTGGACGAGGGAGTGAAGTGTACTCTGTCCAAGTCTGCGGATGATACAAAACTGTGGGGAGAAGTGGACACACCGGAGGGCAGGGAACAACTACAGGCAGACCTGGACAGGATGGACAAATGGGCAGAAAACAAGAGAATGTGATTTACAAGGAGAAATGCAGAGTGCTGCACCTAAGGAGGAAAAATGTCCAACACACCTACTGCCTAGGAAATGACCTGCTCGGCAGCACGGAAGCGGAAGGGGATCTCAGAGTCCTAGTGGACTCCAAGATGAACATGAGTCACCAGTGTGACGAAGTCGTCAGCAAAGGTAATACCACTTTATCGTGCATCAGCAGATGCATGACAAATAGAACCAAGGAGGTGATACTTCCCCTCTATCAGGCGCTGGTTAGACTGCAGTTGGACTACTGAGTCCAGTTTTGGGCACCACACTTAAGGGGGATGTGGATAACCTGGAGAGGGTCCAGAGAAGCGCCACTCATGTGGTTAAGGGCTTGCAGGCCAAGCCCTACGAGGAGAGACTAAGGCACCTGGACCTCTTCAGCCTCCTCCAGAGAAGGTTGAGAGGCGACCTTGTGCTTGCCTATAAATTCATCATGGCGGCGCAGAAGGGAATTGGTGAGGCTCTACTCACCAAGGCGCCCCTGGGGGTTACAAGAAATAATGGTCATAAGCTAGCAGAGAGTAGATTTAGACTGGACATTAGGAAGAACTTCACAGTTAGTGGCCAGAATCTGGAATGGGTTCCCAAGGGAGATGGTGCTCTCCCCTATCCCGGGGATCTTCAAGAGGAGGTTAGACAGGCATCTGGCTGGGGTCATCTGAACCCAGCACTCTTTCCTGCCTATTCAGGGGGTCGGACTCAATGATCTATTGAGGTCCCTTCTGACCCTAACATCTATGAATATAGATTTTGTATTCTAGCTTCTTAATGGAAAGTGGTGCCACTTCAAGTAAAATGCTTTACAAAAGCAAATTGATATCAACAATATTGCCTTTATCACCTATCACCATTAGCATGCAAGTACATCAGGTTTATTTGCAACTTATCCTTGCGACACTCTTCTGAGTTAGGAACATAGTTTTTGCCACCTTCTACTTTAATTAGCCAAAAGAGGGCAGATTAAGAGATTTCCAAAAAGACTTAAATCTGTATTAGAGTCAGAAATTCAACCCAAGTATCTTAAGTTTTCTGACTAGTGACCCATTTCAGTCTTTGAAGAATTTTATTAATTCATTCATTTATGCTATGGATATTATTTGAGGGAATATTTTGGGCTAGCATTTTAATTTGATCTTTCTTGCACTTTGGGTGAGTCATTTAGCACCTCTGACTGTCTGTTCATGGCATCTGACAAAGTAAGCTTCCACTTGCTTATGAATGTCTGAATGAAAAGTGCCATCCTGTCCTACCTTTTGCCTGACTTCAGACTAACATGACTTAAGTACCTCTCTCCATCTGGTAGATCAATTGTTGTAACAATACATTACTATCTTAGCTCAGAAGTGTTGAGGGAAGATGGGTGGTTGCTAAACACGGAGAAATTGTAAAGCAATATGGTAGTGATCCAAGTAGCAAGTACCCTAGTAAGACTGGCACAGGTAAGATTGACTCGGGCTTGCTCTATAATAAAGGATTTTTAGGTAGCATGAATAAAGAAACTGTGGGGTTCCCCGTTTTTTTGTTCCCCCCAGTCATTTGGCTTGATCCCTACAGGATACAGAATACTTCTGGCTTTTTCCCAAATGGCCTCTAGATCTCTAGCTGATCACTTCCTTTTAACTACTTCAAATGATGAAAGTTCTATGTGCAAATGTATCTACCTGACTTCTCTGTAAATTATATTCTAGTTCAGTGGAAGTTCTTTCTTAATTTTAATCTAGTAAGATTTGATGAAAGTAGTACTTTTTTCTCTGCTGCCAAAAATAACCTCCTAGCTTTTTATTCAAATCTGTGTCAACTCTTTATTTGTGGAGCTTTGCATTTCAACCTCTGTCATTAGTCGCATCTCCAAACTGTACTACTGCCTTTTTCATTCACCTGCAAAACGATCCTAACATACCCAGCAGAAGAGTAGAACCGATCCTCTTGCTAGGAACAAGTACATCTTTTTAGTATGTAGATCTTGACCAGTATTTACCCATTTTACTCCATTTCTCTTTTTCCTCAAACTGCTAATTCTGTTTATGGCTTTTCCTTGGATTCTTGTGGATCTTACCATTTAAGGCTGATTAGAGCAGCCCTTCCCATTCTGTGATGTCAGAAAATTGAATGAATGTGCTTTCCTTTATCTGTTGCATCCCTTCTAAAGATACCGAACGTCAAGTCTAATCCTGGCTCATGTGGAAGATGGGGAGTTCTGGTATTTAACTAGTAGCATTACTCTGTTTCATGGCCTCAGTCAGGTACCGTCACAAGAGGTACTTAACAAAACTATTGTTTGGTTAGACTTCTCTAAAAGCAGTATGCGGAGCAGTGTTGGATGCCCACCTAAGGTGC